GGGTGATAATTATACCCCAGCAATGCAAGGATTAAGTTCCCCAAAGCATGGCTGAACCTAAGGAGGCTGGTGTATGAAGGGTTGGAGGTGTCAGGGTGCCTCACTCTGGGAGCTCCTCCTGTGTGGGACTTGTAGGTCAGAGGGCCATTGGCTCCTCAGGCCAGTCCCACCTGTGTTGTACCCTTCAATCTTCTGCTATAGGGAAGAAAGGACAATTCCCCCAGGTTGTCCCCTTCCTGACAACCTCCCCTCACTGAGATCACATGGCTTAGGTGACTGCACACTTGACCCACCAGACCTGCTATGATGGAACATTTGGGTTCCTGCTTAGGGTGCCAAGGCTCTGCTGTTGGCCTATTTTTGTCCAGTGTGAGCATCTTGACCTAGACGCCAGGTCTAGCAGCCCATTTATAATCCTCAGAGGTGCTCTTGAGCCCCAGTGTCTATGGAGAGACCAGAGGGGTGTGAAGGTGAAGAAGAAGACTGGATCTTTGTCCTCCTCCTGGGGAAGGAAAGGTTCCTTACCTGGGATGTCCCATGTTGCTCTGTCTCAGCTTGTCTGGTTGGGCTGGACTATCTGCCGCCATTGCCTTAGCCACTCGTTTCTTGTCCCTGATGTCCTTCATCTATGCAGCTCCTCTTCTCTCTCTATGAGTAGAGTTCTTGGTACAATTCCCTTTCCTTCTGCTTCTTTGTGAGTGTTGAAGATAAAACAGATTTCCCCTCCTCACAGCATGGTGTCCCTTGGCATATAGGTAGAGTGCCGTGGTACCACAGCTCACAGCATCCTCAAACTCTTGGGCTCAAGCGATTCTCTTGCCTCAGCCTTCCAAGTAGCTGGGACTACAGGTGCCCACCACAATGCCCAGCTATTTATTTTCTTAGAGACGGGGTCTTGCTTTGGCTCAGGCTGGTCTTGAACTTGTGAGCTCAGGTGATCCACACACCTTGGCCTCCCAGAGTGCTAGGACTCTCTCTTTTTCTTGATAATATTATTTTTATTTCCTATTAAAGTCACTGTCCTTTGGGCACAAGGATATTCACAGGATAAGCAGCTTCCTTCCCACATGGCTCTGCTACCCAAGATGGCAGGCCTCTAACGGGGTTACAGCCTCTGTGTGAAGAAGTGCTGAGTACCTGCCTACCTGCATTGGGGGTGAGTGAGAGGCCTGTCCCTGCCGAATTTCCCCTGAGAACTTTGGTGCTGCTGGACACTGCCACGGCCACTCTGAGATATTCTGGGGCTTGTGGACCTGCCTGGGACCTTCCTGTATCAGTCCTTAAGGAGGGGTGTCACTAGGAGGAAATGTGAGCCTTGCCCTGTGAGAGGGCAGCATGGGGACGGGTAGGAGGAGAGACTGGCAGGGCCAAGCCTGAGAATGCAGGGAACAGAAGAGTTGGCAGCCAGAGCCTATCCCAGGGAAATGGGAGGCAGGCCTGCCAGGAGCCAAAGCACTGTGTGCATGTTCCATTGACCTATGGGACTTGGCTTAGAAAACACACATTCAAAGACACGATTATTAAGAGTTTCAAGAAGGCAGCTTCAGAGCATTAGATCCAAGTGCAGGCCTGTCAGGGGCATGTGATTTATTGATGAGGGCCCTTGGCTGCTCCCTTAGGAAGCATAGCCCATGAGGAAAGATGTCAGCCAGACCAGCCTCCCAGCCTTCCTGGGCCCTGCAGAATCTCCTTGGGAAACTTTCAAAAATACTGCTTTCCTGGGCTTGTGCCAGAGAGAAAACCACCTCTCTGGTGATCCTGGTATACCATGGGTAGAAACCAGGGTGGCACAGAGCCCGTCTGTGTGATCCCACTGCCTGATGTCACACTAGACCCCCTTTCCACAAGGTCCTCAGATCTTCTTTGGCCCTTAGAGTGTAGGGGATGTCCTTGGTTTGAGGAGGGTCAGGGTGTGGCTGCAGGCATGGTCTCAATGGCATTAAAGCCACATACACCAGTCTCCATGTATGACTGTCCTCTGAGAAGGACCTCCCAGGAAGGTGTAGGCCAAGCCCTAGTTTGGGCTTTGAGACACAGGGGATACTCAGTGCACAGGGACACCCACAGACAAAAAGGGTCCTGAGCCTGACCTAGAAGGCCCAGGGGACATGTGGGGAAGAAAAGCATTGGGACAGTGGGTTCAGTGTGTGCAATCACGGGCATCACAGCCTATGAAGCTGCAGGATGAACTGTCTGGGAGACTGAGCTGAGGCCATGGTGGTCAGAGTGGGGTTGTGGTGAGAGATGAACCCAGTAGTGATCTGAAGAGGCTGAACAGGCAGAAGGCAGACTCTGGTGCATGTCTTTGGCTTTGCTGACCAATTTCTAGATTCAAAGTAATCTCCTTGCTCAGCCCTGTATCTTCATTGGATCAGTATCTGCCCAAATTCTCTCCGAAGTTTAGAATTCATTAACCCGGGCTGGACAGCAGGTCATCTTAACATTCTGGGAGGCCTAGGCAGGCAGATTATCTGAGCTCAGGAGTTGGAGACCAGCCTGAGCAAGAGTAAGACCCTGTCTCTACTAAAAATAGAAAAAAACTAGCTGGGTGTGGTTGCAGGTGCCTGTAGTCCCAGGTATTCAGGAGGCTGAGGCAAGAGTATCTCTTGAGTCCAAGAGTTTGAGGTTGCTGTGAACTATGATGATGCCATGGCACTCTACCCAGGGTCTAAAAAAAAGGTGGAGAATTCATTAATTCATTAACCTGGTGTTATGCCAAGACCTGGGAGGATGGATATCAGGCATTGGAGGACACTCTCAAGGGTGTGTGATTCATTGACAAGCCCAGGAAGCCAGTCAAGATTTCTGTAGGAGAAAGACATCGATTGGTAAGACTTACTTCCCAGCCTTCCTAGCTCCTTCAGAGCCTGGCAGAGAGCTCATATTTGAATTCTGGTTCAGTCACTAACTTTGCAACCCTGGTCAAGTTCTTTACCATCTCTGAGCCTTAGTTTTTCATCTGTGGAACAGGAATCTTAAATATACTCACCTTTTAGGATTATTTGTCAATTATTTGTGAGTATTTGTCATTATTGATCATTAATAATCAATAATTAATATATTAATATCAACAATCAATAAGTTGTCATTATTGATTATTGATAATAAATACTTAATCATAAATTATTAATGATTATTTGTCATTTTAAATGTGTGAAAAGGGCTTAGAAGAGTGATTAGCACATGCTAAAGGCGCAATAACTTATTGTTACAATTGATAGTATTATTGTTTTCAGACAAGAAAAGGAAAATCCTATTTGGCTCTCAGGGACCTCTGTGTGGTCCTGCTGAATGGACAGTGTCTGGAGGTGAAATGTGACATGGAGTCAACAGCTGGGGCTGTCTTCAACGCTGTGATGTCCTTTGCCAACCTTGGGGAACTCACCTACTTTGGATTGGCTTACATGAAAGGTAAGCATCTCTGGGGAGTCCACATCTGACCTGGTGCTCCAGTAAGCCAGTATCTGGATACCTGATCTGTATTCCTTCTAGGAAAATTGCTTAAGAGTGGGGTGCCTGGACATGAGTTAGTATGGCAAAGGCTTCAGGTGCTCATGTGTAAATCGTTAAGTAAGTGCAGAAAATTGTCATGAAATAACAATTATAGGATGACGTGGGTTTCTGTGGCTCCCTGGATCTGGTCAATCAATCTCAGTGCATTGAAATTAGACAAGCAAATTTTAAAAACTTTCCATTTAATCTGCAGGACTAATGGGGACTCAGCACCACCACCCTAGGAGCCTAAATTAAGATTCCATTCTAAATATTTAAGAGAAGGGTTTTCTACACCCTCTTTCTTCTTTGCTCTAGCATTAGGGACTCTTTATTTCCATTATCAATCCAAAAGCAACAACAGACTCCAAAGAATAACTTTATTTGGGAATTGGTAGGCTATTGCAATCTAAGATACACTTGCTACAGCAAACTGTGGGTGCTTCTGAGGAGGTTGGGGCAAAAGAGAGAGGTACATGTAAGTTGTTTGGAAGAAAAAGATCACTGGTTATGGAGGCGTATTGTAGGATTGACGTTAGTTCTTTAGTGGAGACGAGTGCCAGACAAGTGTTCTTGTGCGAGTGGCTAGTTGTCCTTGTGTAACTCATGAAGCAAGCTATAGTTTAGAAACCATTTTCTGTGCTGTTTTTCAGCATAGGCATAACACGTGAGTGCCCCTCCCTCATGACTTCCTGGCTTCATTTTATTAGGGTTAGATATACGTAAGTGACTTACTTTAGTGTTGATAATTTTCACATTTCCACCTGTTGATCCAGACCTTACTCTGAAAACACTGCTGGTCAATCAATCATCCTCTCGTTAGGTTTTGATTGTTCCTTGGTGCTGGCATGAATGTGTGCCCTTCCGTGTAGGGACCAGACCAACCACATTGCACTAGCCGGGAATTTATGTCAAATCCTTTTTAGGCACATTTGAACAACAAGGAGGTTCAGAAGAAGTGGCTCCAGGCTAAATCTGCCCGGAGTTCATTGTTAGGTTTAATTTTGTCAGTTTCACAGATGTCGGTTATTATTTTGAAATACTGGGCCAGCATTGGGTGTTTGGGGGAACTCACACCCAAACCACACACCAAGGGGAGAAAATACATCCCTTGAATTTTACATCCAATTGTCCAGCTTTGGCTGACAGGGCTTCAGAAGCAGAACAGTTTGTATTAGTTGGAGAGCTGTAGCCAGATAATTGGACGAAACTAGAAGAAATCGGGATCCAGTCAAGTCTATAGGTAGATAATAAAAACTCAATAACAGTTCTATAATCTAATAGGAATACTATGTAGTTTTTGTTTAGAAACATTTTTTTCTTCAGTTACCCCATTTTTACTAAAGATAATCAAAGTAAGACTAATTGTTTGCAAATTAAGTTTAGCCTCATTAAACTTGGCCTGATTATTTACATAAATGCAGCAAGAATAGCAATTGACCACATAGGTTCTTTTTAAGCTCAGTAAAAACCCCTCAAAATTAGGAAGCCAACCCAAGGAAAACTTCAGAATTTTGCTTACTCTACTTATTACATTATGTATGTTTTTCAAATATGACATTTTAAGTCAAAGCTTTGGCAATATCACCAATGTCAAAATTATATCCTGTTATGAAGAGAGCAAAGTCTTATTAGACTTAAGCTAGGAATACTTATGATTAGTTTTAGAATTCTAGAGAGATCAGGTAGAGAGAAAAAACAAATGTTTTAATTTTGTTCACAAAAGTACACTTTATCAAATTTCTGTAAACTATAGATGGCATAAAAGCAAAACATTTCCTTAAATATAGAAAGCAAGATATTTAAAGAACTGGCAAAATTTCAAGTAAAAAATTGTAAGAACCCATAATTTTTCATTGGCTCATTCAGTCTAATGTAATTTATCCTTGTTTTATTTAAACTTGGTTAGCAGTTTAAAATCTAGTTTATTAATAAGACTTTTGGACACTTTTCCCCAGCTCTAAGGTTTTGTCTTATAGTTACTAAAAATCTGTAGTTGTTAGAGTTCTTGCCATTTTCCCCAGGAACCTCCTTGAAGAAAAAGCAATTGTGGACTGTAGTTGATTGCAAATGCTTTTAGAGAAGAATACATAACCCCCTGTGGATGACAAATGGTTAGAAAGGCCATGGTTAAAAGTCTGGGGAGAGTTTGTTATAACCAGCAATTGACAGGATATTTGATTATTTCTGTAACGTATATCATGCTTACACCAAGACATATCAGATTTCTAGGAATTTTCTGTATAATTTTTGGAAGACTTATATCAATGACATATTTGTAAATATAACTTAAAGAAGACTTCAGGTCATTTATTATTTGACAATGTTTTCCATACAGTTTAACATATCAAATAACCTAATTAGTTTATTATCTCTTACAAGGTTAGGGACACATCCTTTGTGTTTTCCAGGGGCCCAGCTGGAAAATCACAAGGTTAAGTCAAGGTCAAAAAGGCTTAATTTTGAATTTTATTTTGGCAAGTTTGTCAAAAGATTTAAAATACTTAATCAAAATAGGATCACATGTCACTGTTAAGCAGTAGTCATTCATTTAACCAGAAGGATAATTAAAAGACTTCATACGGCAAATATAGAATGTTTCATAGTTGGCAGGAAAAACTTAACTCTTTTAGTGTTGAGGAGACTCATTTTCTGAAGTAATAAAAGTGACCCAATAAAAGATAGTGCAGAAGAAATTTTGATAAAAGACCAAATCTCTATTTTGTAGGCCAGTTATCTAATAGGTAAAGAAAAACATTTTACATTTATTTATTTATTTATGAGCCAAAGTCTTATTCCATCACTCAAGTTTGAGTATCATGGCATCATTGTAGTTCACAGCAATCTCAAACTCTTGGGCTCAAGAACTCCTCTTGCTTGGCAGAGCCTGTGGCTCAGTGAGTGGGGCACCGGCCCCATATACCAAGGCTGGTGAGTTTGAACCCGGCCCTGGCCAAACTGCAACAACAGCAACAACAAAAAATAGCTGGGTGTTGTGGCAAGTGCCTAGCTACTCGGGAGGCTGAGGCAAGAGAATCCCCTAAGCCCAAGAGCTGAAGGTTGCTGTGAGCTGTGATTTCACAGCACTCTATTGAGGGAGACAAAGTTAGACTCTGTCTCTTGGAAAAAGAAGAACTCCTCTTGCCTCAGCCTCCCAAGTAGCTGGGACTGTAGGCACCTACCAAAATACCTGGCTAGTTTCTCTATTTTTAGTAGAGATAGGGTCTCGCTCTTGCTGAAGCTGATCTCCAGCTCCTGAGCTTAAGCAGTCCACCCTTCAGGGCCTCAGGCATGAGACCCCGCACCTGGCCATAATTTTTTAGAATTAATAGCAGACTAATACTCTAAGAAAACTGTGTTGTATTAACAGGACCAAATTCAAGTGTTGCATTAGTGTACTTTGATATTAAAGCTCAAGTTTTAGAAAAACAAAATTTCCTAATTTTAGTCAGCTGGATCACACATATTCCTTCTTATACCTTTTATGACATTCTTATTCACTTAGTTTTATCTGTATCACCTTTTTCCTTATTTATTCATTTGAAACAACTTTTAAATAACTTCCAACTAGGCAAAATTACTTTTTAATCAACAAATAAAAACACATCCTCATGTCTTCCTTATGACTTTTCTCATCAAAAACCTATCTTACTTGTTTGTACACTTTGTATACAAAGTTACATACATCATGAGGTGGCCAAGGTGGGTGGAGTGCTTGAGCTCAGAAGTTGGAGACCAGCCTGAGCCAGAGTGAGACCCCCATCTCTAAAAAAAGAAATAGCCAGGCATTGTGGCAGGCACCTGAGTCCCAGCTACTTGGGAGGCTGGGGCAAGAGGATGGCTTGAGTTCAAGTTTTTGAGGTTGCTGTGAGGTGTGATGCTCTACAGGGGGCAAAAAAAGTGAAAGTAAAGAAAGAAAAAAAGTGAAAGTCTCAAAAGATAAAACAACAAAATAACATATGTGAATTACAATTTTACTTTCTAGTAAAAACTAGAAAACAAGAAAGTAAGCAATCATAAACTGCCTTTTACAAATTTGTGTATATGCTATTTTATGTCATATGTTTTTAAGACATATATGTTTCTTCATAGCACAGTTTTTCAATGTAGCATAGGACACGTCTATTAACAAACCCAAATATCTTTTGTTTCTCTGCAATAAGAAGCCAAAGGCATATATGCTTAAACTTATGTTCAGCAATTAATGTTTCAGCATTATACCTTATTTAGAAAGGGTTTATTCAACAAATATTTTTCATTTAATTTAATTTGGTACCATTTTAAGGATTTAATTAACCAAAAACATTTTTAAAACTATTTTTGTGTGGCGACATCTTATAAAACATAAGCATTATTGAAAAGTTTGTTTACAACATTTTATCCCACTTATATTTACATTTACTAATTTGCTTGTTTTAAAAATCATATTTGAATTGTTCAAGAAAACATCATTAGATATTAAACAAAGTTACTCACTATCTTAAATTATTTCTCTTCCTAGTATATCAGGTTCAGTATCAAAAAAAAATCACAGAAACAAAGAATTTAAACTTAAAACACATGGCTTTAGCATATAAGATTTTTAGCAATCTTTTTTATTGTCATAGTTGACACACACCAAACAACCTATTTTTATTGTATGTTTTGTTCTTAGGTTGAATGTATAATTTTACCCTCTTAAGCATACACAAGCTTTTGCTTAATAAACTGAGGTAAAAGAAGTTGCATGTCTATATTATATTTAATGATGACAACTCTCAACATAATGCATGTTTTAATTAAACCAACAAACTTAAAATAGCTTCTATATTTGCTGAAAACTATACCAGATCACCAGAACTTGGAAAACATTTAGGTTGATTTGCATTTTTTTTCTTAAGAAAATGCTTAATTCTTTTTTTTTTTTTTTTTTTTTT